AAAAAAAAAAAAAAGGAAAATGCCATGAGACTCAAGGGGAGAAAAGCCAAGAGAGAAACCGTAAGGAAATGTTACATTCTGGGAGGAATTAGGGGGGCAAATTCACTACTAGATGCACAGGGAAGCAGTCAACTCCACAGAAACTCACAAGAAAAGGTTCCATCCTCTTTCTCTCGAACTAGAAAGAGACTGAAGTATCCGATCAAGTCATCTGGAAGATCCAGCTTTGCAGCCACAGCCTTGGGAGAGGGAAGGAAGTACAGCTCATCATACTGGCTGGTTCCAATCACCCCGAAACCTGGGACCCTGAGGTGCCGGGGAGGAGGGGCAGCACAAGTGCCTCACCTCTAGGACATCTTCAGTCTGATCTGAAGTTAGCACATTGACGAGAACTTTCTGCCCGTTGCTGAGCAGCACTTCCAAGGAAACTTCCTCTGTGGGGACCTGCTGTGTCTCCTGGTCGTGAATATACATGAGAATGGAGGCACTGCCGTTAATACCTGCCCAGTGTCTAGCTCTGACCCATCCTAAACTCTCTATTTCTAGATCCTTCTAGCATCTTTATTCTCAGTTGCTTAATTACAGGCTGAGTTTCCTTGATTTCATTAGTACAGCAGAAGCCCTACCTCATAAAAAAAGGTGCCTGGATGACTCTTGTAGCCACTGCCTTAAAATGACATGGCCCTACAGAAAAGTCCTTCCCTTAAATCTTGGTGGCACCCAGAGCCTCACCTGTTGTGCCCGACGCAGAAAGCTATTGAAGGTCTCACTGCTCCCAAGCAGCGGGTCTTGCCGAACTGTGGGGACAAGAAGACGATGTTGCAGTAACTTTGGGCTCCCTCTTGACTCCCCCCAGTTCTTTTTTTGGTAGGTTTCCCCCCTACCCCATTTCCTGGGCTGGTGATGGCCTGTCACATCCCCCAGCTGGCCTCACCTCACTCACTGTTTGCATAAATTCTTCACCTGCCCCACCCTTGGCTGCCATCTAGTTGAGTCCAGTCTATAGAACTAGGGAAATAACAATGATGTTAATCTAAAGCGCGTCAGATACAAATTAAGCTCTCCCCACCAATCTGAACTGCTTTAAGACTATTTAACATTATGTTAGTATTTCCAAACTGTATTAGTATATTGACCAAATTGCTTTGTTAATACCTACAACATCCTTGTATGCTATTTACTTTTCTTAATTAAGTAACAGATGAAACAAAAGGCTCCCCAGATCCAGAAAGTAATTCAGGACAGTCTACAGAACCAGCTGTTTTGGGTCTCTTCCCATAGTTCTCAACTGTTAGCTTAAAGTTCCCTCCAACCACTCACCGGCTTGCATGTACTTCTCTAACTGCTCTCTCCTCTGTTCTACCTCAGCAGGTGTCAGAGAGAAAAGCTTCTTTGGGGGAAATGCAGGAAGAACATTGGCCCCATACTCTTTCCGAAGCTATTTGGAGAAAGAGATACAACCCTTCACATAAACACAGCAAATGAGAAGAGGTAATCCACACTCACAATGTTCTCTTGGTCTCCCTTCCCTTCCCTTAGTCCCTGCTCCCCCATTTAGCCTGGTCATCCAAGAAATAATTCCTGTGGTGAAGGTAGCATACCAACAGAGCTGTGTTCCTCTGTTCTAAATATAAGTTGTGTCCTATCTTGCTATGTACAAGTCAGCCCCTTCACAGTGCGGGTACGGTTTGCATAGGTCTGGGGCCTGGGGAGCCCCCTAATTATTTAGCAAGACTGTTCATTGAACCCTCACAAGAAGCAAAGGGCTTTACAAGGAAAATTTATGTGCCTGGTTAAATATAGCCAAATATGCACACAAAATGTCTTAGAACTTAAAGGGACTTTGCAGAGCAACAACTCCATTTTTCAGTCTTAGAAACTAAGGCCCAAAGAAATTAGGTAACTTAGTCAGGGTTGCACAGTTAGTTATCAGTGGAATCAGGACTCTGTACTGAGTTGAAAAGAGCTTGCAATCTGGTGAGGAGAACATAGAAACATTGCGTCACAGATACATAAGGATAACTGAACAGCTAGGCCCACTGAAAGTTGTTAAAGAGCACAGGAGGTATTGGTGAATGGTTTGTATGAGCAGGGAAGAGAATTTCAAGTT